AGATATATATATATATATATATATGTATTATACCCACACAAATATTGTAATATATATTGTATAAGAAAACTGATTTTCATAAAAACATTAAAAAAAGGAGTTACTGTCAACCATTCAAACTTGCTTTGCAATGAATTGTAAGTTTTCATTATTCATTTCAAACATTCAAGAAAAAATGAAATATCAAAGTACATTTAATTGATAATTTGTATTAAAAAAGTAAACAATTTCATATGAGTAAGGTATTTATTCTGTACTGTGATCATACTTCCAACACAATGACTATAAAGGAACAATTACTTATGCAAATTCACAATCAATAGATTAACTTTACTAAGGAGAAAATTTTAACTTTTTAAATTTTCTCAGTACATAAAAAATTGCTCTTTCTTAAGAAATATGTTATAAATTAAAAATACAATAACTCAATGACAGAAACATTCCACATTATGTATTATCCATTATACAAATTATAATATAGAAAAAGCAGTCCCTAATTCCTATAGCTATTCCCAGAAAGTTGAAAGAATTCAGTCACAAGATCAGAGTCAGAGGTATTAACACTAATAGTAACAGTCTGTACAGTGATTACAATTTATAATTATAATCATAATCACTAAATCAGTATCCTGTATGCCAGCAAATAAACTGGATTCAACAGTTATTTATACAAGAGTAACTTACCTTCACAAATATATCCTTGTCCTATTAATCCCCACAACATATCTGTACAATGATGACAATATGTAGGCTTATGAAATGTCTTCTTTACAAAAAAATGTCCATGATGACCCTGTTCATAATCCGTAAAACCAAATGGTATCACCTCAGTTGTCGGGCTAGGGTCATCACTAGGCCTAATGCCCATGTTAGGCGTAGCACCAGAAGCCATATTGTTCCACCTGAGCCGAAATAAATATGCCACTGCTTCCACAGCCAGCGGTTCGAACTTAGATACCTCCAATAAACGTGTTGCGGGATCAGTAATCACTATATATTAATATATCCCATTATCACGACTTGATGAAAATTAGTGCTCGATAACGGTGATACTCGCCATGTCATCGTAAGAAATTTCATTATGACAATCCAGAGTCCGCCATTACATCGTTTTCCTCACTGATGTAACTCCGCGAAGCTTCAATTGATCAAGAAATCGCAGCGCTGTAAAAATCATTTCTGTAGGTCAGATCCCGCAAAAAAGGCATATTACAAACAACTTTTTAGTTTGTGCTTAACAGTGACACTCAGAAATTATATTGGTAAATAGTAATTTGCAATGTCTTACTAAATTATTTATTAAAAGTTTTATTACTGGTGAAAGGAAATGTCGGGAATATATCTGATAACATAATAGTACATTAAAAAAAGGCACTGCAAATCAGATGATGTTATGTCATAAAGGAAAAGACTTGCGAGATATTGAAGAAATACACTGAATAACGATTTAGAAAACGGAAGAATAAAGCAATTAATCTGGTAAACAATAAAAACTGAGAGAGAGAGGTGTCTCAGTAGATACTTTAAATTTCGACTTTACCAATATGAACTTGTATATCACGTAAAGAACACAGTGTTTATTGATTGACAGTTTACAAAACTGTTAATTTGCTACTTTTAGTGAAACCAGATATTTTTAAACTTTAAAGCAGAGTTAAACAAGTGACTCTTTTAAAGGGTTAAAATGCCAGTTCATCATACAAACAGTTTCCTGTAAATGTGTTTTTCCTACGCGACAGTCGAATACTGTAACATAACAGACGAAACAGGGGCAAATCGACTCAATCTATTTTCAATATCTTCCAGTTAATAAGACAATGACGCGAAAAACTGCACCATTTTGAATTTGTCATAAGTACAGTGTAGCAATCTAGCAAAACAACGAATTAACTAGTTTCAATAGTTTCTAATAGACAAACAATTCTGTGGCTCGCAATATTACTATTCAACATTAATGACATCTAAAAATGTCTATTTTGTTTGTTTGTTGTTAAGCGCGAAGTTACACTACGGACTATTTGTTCTGTGACCACCACGGGTGTCGAAATAAATAAAAGTTTTTATAAGCCACTGTGAGGGGGGGGGGGGAGGCAGCAATACCAATAAAATCATACGAAGTGTATCGAACCAGATAATTTTACTGAGTTTCAGCTTATTAATAATTAATACGTCATAGATAAATAATTCTTGTGATAGTACTTCATGCAAAACAATAAATGAAACTGAAAAAAAAAAACTTTGAAAAGAATAATTAACATAAAAGTATTATTCGCGTGTTTATTATCATGTTATAGAAAGATGATTAACTCTCGTAGATTTCCTCCTTACTCTTGAAACAAGTCCAATTTCATTTGCAACTCCTTCGTTCCAGGCTGCGGCTAAGATCAAAATACTGAATGAAATTAGTCTTCGCTAACACCCGAAAAGATTCAGGGCTTAGGCTCCACGAATTAGCTGCTACTCAAAATCTTAAACATGATTGCCCAGCGACGACCCTATTCTTCACTAATATATTCTTCTATATTGTCGTGTATACGAGACTACCCAGTACATTGAAGCGTTTTATTTTAATCCAGATAATTTAGAAATAATTACTTTTATCATTCTGATATTTATGAATAATAGTTAATCCCCCAATTCCCGACTTGTTTATATGCCGTTCACTACCTAGGGTTCCACATATTTTATGGTGTTTACCTGTTGTATTGTTAGTTTGAAGTTAACGATAAAGCTATGCAATGATTGTATGTTTATTATGGATTTCGCCCAAAGCTACACGAGGGCTATCTGCGCTAGCCGTCCCAAATGTAGCAGTGTAAGACTAGAGGGAAGGCAAACCCTTGGGCTACTCTTTTACCAACGAATAGTGTGATTGACCGTCACATTATAACGCCCCCACGACTGAAAGGGCGAGCATGTTTGGTGTGACGGGGATTCGAACCTGCGACCCGCAGATAGCTAATCGAGTGCCCTAACCACCTGGCCATGCCGGGCCCTATGCAATGAGCGATCTGTGTTATGTCCACCACTGGTATCCATTGTTTATCGTAAAGAACCGACTAAAAATGAGTAAAATTATTTATTTTAAATAAAAAATAGATTGGAAACCTTAACAATAATTGATGGGATAATTGATATAATAGTATTGTTGTTTTTTGTTAACTAACGACTCAACAGTTATGTTTCTACCCAACAAATCAGAAACTTACAGCAAATATGGTACATAAATAATAATAATAATAATAAAACATTGTTAGAATGGCCTATGAGACCCCTTGTGGTAATCCTAGAGTTGCATTGCTTTAAAACTTATTGTTACGACTGCGGAAGTCGCATGACGCTGGGAGCACGTGTGCTGGAGTTTCTAGAATTATCGGGGAACCACGCGAATGTCCCAGTGTTTGCTAGACGCCCTGGCAAAGAAAACCAGCGACAGGCAGATAGATATGCAGCGTGACTGGAGATACAGATAATTGAGTCAAGCGAACAGTAATGACGATCCACTATGTCGTATGGACCCTCCCATGAAGGCTAAGTTATGATAAGAAATCTACTGAAGTCAGCTTTGTACCAGGAGACAAGGTGTGGTTGTATAATCCCAGGAAGACCAAAGGGAAGTCTCCTAAGTTGTCATCTCCATGGGAAGGCCCATATGACATAGTGGATCGTCTCTCAGACGTGACTTCCCAGATAAAATGTGGTCGGCGAGGTAAGCCAAAGGTGGTGCATGCCAACAGGCTTTGGTGTTATCACGGTCCAGGACATTTCAGTTGGAACGAAGTGAACAATGAAACAAATGACGCTGCTGAAGACGTGTCATTCATGGAATCAGCAGACGTTTTCAAGTTTGAACGCACTTGATGATGAATATCATCCATCCTTTCAGATAACACTTTCACGAAATCTGGCACATTTTCAAGCAACTCTTTGTAAGGTGGGCGTTCTGTTATCAGATCCACTGGCAATCGACCAAGTTCCCGACCAAACATCAGCTTTGCTGGAGTGTATCCAGTGGCTTCATGCTCTGCTGTTCTATAAGCCATCAACAGTGGAGGGAGTAAGACATCCCAGGCATCTTGGCGACTATTACAAATCTTTGCCAATTCCTGTCCCAGTGTCCAATTGTACGTTTCTACCATCCCATTAGATTGTGGGTGAAGTGTCGTTGTCCTGGTCTTTCGGATGCCAAACAACTTGTAGCATTCATGGAACACAGCTGATTCAAAGTTACAGCCTTGATCCGAATGCAGTTCGTATGGCATACCAAATCTGAAAACGAAATCACTAATAGCCAAAGCTACAGTTGTAGCTTCTTGACTTGGTATTGCATATGACTCAGGTCACTTGGTGAAATAATACATCACCACACAAATGTACCTGTTTCCAACACGAGTTTGGGGTAATGGACCAGCAATGTCAATGGTTAC